TTTTTATGCGTCTAAGTTTGAATTGTCTTCTATACAAGTTAGAATACTGCTTGTATAAAAATAAAATAATGGTTAAGAGACTGGCCCTACAAACACTTATGATACAAGTAAATATTAGAGAGAGAGTCAAACTCGGGATTTCAAGTGTAAGGTGAGCAACAAGCCTTTTGCGCTCCATTTTCACATTGCATTAATATCCCACTTTTAGTCTAGAATTATGCTAGGCTCAATAACTTGAGTGCGCATGGGTTATTGCGTCATCGATGTAAGTGGGCTCTACAATACAACTCAATCACCCATGCAACCTAGCGTTAAGTTAGGGTGAACTGTTGGTGCAATTGGATCTCACAGCTGAACAACTCTATGTCACACAATGCATCAACGACTTGTAATCAACCGCGCATACTAGCTTTCCCATTCAGTTTAATGTGCTTTGATCATAACGTAAAGCGATAGAATTTCATTAATGAACAAGAACAATTACAAGGATTGTCATGATGAGTACATTTCTCCAGTGACCAATTAGTTGATCTGGAGATAATTTGCACAAACAAGCATAAAGAGTAATCCCTTAAATGGCTACCACAAACAGCATTGGCACCAGTACAAGCACCAACAATACAAATTTGTCACAAAAACAGTGGAGGTAACAAACCTAAACCGAGGCATACACAATGTCATTGCTAATTAAAAGCGAGATATCTTCAAACCAAAATGATAAGGGGAGGCCACATCAAACGATAACGACGTCGTCTATCAACTTTGCAATGGTGCTCCGGCCATTCTGCATTCTCCTCGTACGGCAACTGCCCGGTTTAGCTTTTACCAAGCCAAATCGCACCCCCATTAATCATTACTTGAACCTTGAAAGTCAGTTCAAATTACATAAGATAAGACTTGTAATCATCATTCATCATGATAATTTTTTGAGCCTTTTTGATTGATCGACATGAATCAGCTCTTATATGTTTCCCATATTCTTTAATATAGCTTTGTTTCTTACTATCGTTCATACGCGTGTGGACAATTAATCATTCATGTATGTAAAACTCATAGTAAGAACAACACGCGTTAATTGTTGACAAGCTAACACTTGATACGACATGAAACATAACTAATTGTTACAATAGATATCAACTTTTCAAAGTATTTTAAATAGAAAAATGCTGGAGAGATTATTTTTTTAGACTTTATTTTGTAAATCATATGTGATGGTTGATAGTTGGCTACCATTTTAATGATTCATAGAAACAATTTGACCCTTAAATGGCACATCATATGTGAGTAGTTCTACCCCTAAGGACTTTATGCCAGCACCCAACCCATTTATCCACTTCAATGAACAGTAATATACACCAATGAACAGTAATAGACCAAAACATCTCCACCCCTAAAAAAATGCGCTGGCACCTAGTCTAAAAATGCGATGGCACAAATGATCTCCATCCTTACAAAGTGCGCTGGCACCCAACCCATTTAAAATATTATTAATTTTTTTATAAAATAATAAATAAATAAAATTATTTTAATTTCAGATAGGATTTTTAACCAATCTCGTCACTCTACGTGTCATTATCCAAACATACTATTTTAAGTTTATGTAATTTTATTTATTGTGTTTTTTATAAAAAAATTATTTGGTGAGGTTATGTAAATTTAATTGGTGTTTTTTTATTTTTAAGTTTATTTGGTGAGTTTATGTTATCTTATTTGATGTGTTTAAATAAAGTACAAAAAATAAATTTGAAATTCCATAAAGTTCTAAAAATAAAGACGAAATTACATAAAGTACTAATAATAAATAAGAAACTACATCTATTAATAAAAATAAAGTACTAAAAATAAAGACGAAATTACATAAAAATTACATAAGAAATTAAATAAAGTACTACAAATAAAGTGTAACATCCCACATCACCCAGGGGAGTAATCCTTATATGTATATTCTCATCTCTACCTAACACGAGGCCTTTTGGGAGCTCACTGGCTTCGGGTTCCATGGGAACTCCGAAGTTAAGCGAGTAGCGCGCGAGAGCACTTCCAGGATGGGTGACCCATTGAGAAGTTCTTGTGTGAGTTCCCAGAAACAAAACCGTGAGGGCGTGGTCGGAGCCCAAAGCAGACAATATCGTTCTACGGTGGTGGAGCGGGTCCGGGTTGTGGTGGGGGCCCAGGGCGAGATGTGACAATTTGGTATCAGAACCAAACCCTGGCCGTGGTGTGCCGACGAGGACCTTGGGCCCCTAAGGGGGGTGGATTGTAACATCCCACACCATCCAGGGGAGGGATCCTTATATGTTGACCCACTCGTGTGAGTTCCCGAAAACAAAACTGTGAGGGTGTGCTGGGGGCCCAAAGCGGACAATATCGTGCTACGGTGGAGTCGGGCCCAAAAAGTGGTCTCGCCCGGGTCGAGATGTGACATAAAGATGTAATCGGGTCATAAGTAGTGTTCACCCAACATTCACACAACGTAACATCTTCAATGAGCTTCCACGAAGTCTTTTTTTTTTTCTCTCAAAGTGTAGAAAATATTGAAATGTTGAAAGTGTAACAAATATTGAAATATGGTGTAAGGTGGAAGATGAGGGTTAGGTATTTATAGAAAAAAAAAAGTTTTTAAAAAATTTTATGTATTTTTTTCTAAATTTTTTTATAATTTTAATTAATTTTTAATAATTTTTAATGTATTAACTTATCTGGACCGTTGGATTTGAAAAGTATTCAAATCCAAGAGCCAAGGAGCTGTCACGTGGCCAACGGTCATAATTCTGATGTTGAGCCTTATTTTTATTTTTATTTTTAATTTTTGGGGGAAAATTGTGAATCGTTGATCTGTGATCGAACGGTATAGTTTAAAAGTAAAATTCAATTTTTTTTACCGTTGGAAATCCAACGGTCTAGAAAAACTAGCCATTGAAAATCCAACGGCATAGAGATGGCCACGTCGCCTACTTCCGGGTGAAGAGCAAGTGGGCTGATAGCGGGCCCCGCCGCCTACACCCTTGTCCCCTACTCGCGCCTACACGCGAGTGAGTTACACGCGCCAACCAAATAGGCCAGTCCCTGGGTCAGTAAAAAATGGGCTAGTCTCTTGCCTGGCTTGGGTTGGGTGCCAGCAGTTTTGTAGGGTGGAGTGGATTGACAGATCCCCAGTTTGGTTTTTTGACTGGGTACTGGGCTATTCCACCTTCGGTGGAACTGCTATGATCTACAAAATAATATTCAAAAATATAATCTCTCTAACATCACTATTTTAAATAATTCTAAAATTAATTGTGCAACTCTATGCGTATATTTTGTTGAGAGGTTATTTCACATTTAGAAATAAGAATTTTGCATAAATTAATAATGTGCACGAACTAGATAAACATTTTAAAGTCTGCACAACATTTATCAGTGGTTCGACAGCTTTAAAACAAAATTAACTCATATTTTTTAAAAAGGGTAATTTTAACAAAATCAATAGATGTTATGATATTGACAAATTAATTATTTAATTATCAGTAGGTCAAAGAGGTCATTTAGTACTACGATATAGTGGTATTCCTCTCACTTTGCAAGTGAGATGTTTTAGATTTGATTCTTGCTAAATGCAAAGTTGAATCTTGCTAAATGCAAAGTTGAATCACATTATAGGGCTTAACCCACTCTCTCCCCCCCTTAGTACAGATATTGTCATTTGTTCAAATATAAATAAATAGGTCAATGAGACTTTGAGGTACTATAACACCTTAATCAAAGAAAATTTACTAATTCATGTGACTATAGCTAGCAACGTGCAAATTCTTTTATTTCGAATTAGGTCAATCACACACCTCCTAGACTTCACACTTCATGTGACTCTCGCAATTTCCGTTTCTTTCTTTTACATTGGATTTAGACTCTGCAACTAAGCAGCAAAGTCTCCTTTTTTTTTTTTTTTAAAAAAAAATCAGGTCAATCTCACGCATCACTTACATGCCTCCTACGATTGACATCTCACGCGACTCCTGTGTTTTACATTTAGATTCAGACACTCCAACGCAATGTCCACTTTTTGGTTCCATTTTTTACATTTGGATTCAGATGCTACGTTGCAATGTCCCATTTCCTAGTTTTGCACAAGCTGAGGTACGCGTGCAAACCTCACCACCACCATCTGCTTCATGATCTTGTGGAGGATGTTGGGTTTTGGAAGGAATCGTGTTAATCAAAATGTCGTAGTTGCTGCGACTGAGCCGTTGGGATCTAGTGGTCCTAACCATCGCTAATGACCTCGTGTTCTTCATCATAGAGAGGCGAACAAAAATACGAGGAGAGAATGGAGAGATAGCCAGGAGAGATAGAAGATAATAGATAAGAACGAGAGAGGAGAGAAGATAAGAAAAGAAATAAACTGAGGAGTAAATAATATAAATGTTACTTTTTAACTAGCCTAAATCCATGTGTCATGCTTCATTGATCTATACATAATTATTATGAATATTTCATTGATTATGGAAAAAAAAAATTGGTCATTAATTTATGACTAATTAGCAAAGATTCTATTTGGCTAAATAACAATTTTTAAAACTAATAAAAAAAAAGTAATAATCATTATTCGATTTTTCTATGGTTAGCCTAGATTAGATAATTAGATGAGATTTTTATTGCTCATGTTTGAAGTAAGTTCTACACGGAAGTTCTCTTTTTCAAGAAGTTTTATTACTATTGTAATTTTATTAACGAGTGTTGTTATTAGCAATTCAAAATTTTCATTATGCATTTCGACATATTTTCTTGCGGAGACTACAAAAATGAGAATCATGTTTAAACCTACTCTCTTCTTTTTCTTTATAGGGGTACATATGGAAGTTCACTTTTATGAACTCACCCACACGCAAGTTAACATACGCGCCTCATTTGAATTATCACCGGGCGGCCCCACCCAATTTGAAAAACTGCATAGAAGTCCGTCTCGCCCAACGGCCACTTCCCCCCTATACAAAAGCGCACGGTAGCCGTTGGAGAATTAGACACCACCTTTCTTCCTCATTTTTCAAATCCACCGATTCGATTCAAATTCTCTGAAAACCCTAAAGGCCCTTTCTTTCGCTCGAAAGAGGGAAGAAAGCTTTTTTTCTCCTTATTCCCCTTTCTCTCTCTTGGTCGAAAAATTTCATATATTTTCCGGTTGATTTTGTTAATCGAGTTGGACTTCGTCAGGATACACAAAATCACAAAGGTAATTTCGAGTTTTCGATCCCAATTCAATTGTAACCTAATGCAAGGATTTTTCTACCAAAGACGGAATTTAGGGTTTTCTTCTGGTAATGCTGATTAGTTAAAATCAAGTTAATTAATCGGCACGAAAAGTTTCTAAATTTGTTGCTAGGGATTTAGGGGTTTTTTCTATTGTGTAGCTGATATGGTTTATATGAGTTGTGATGAATTGTGTTGGTGTTGGTTTAGGTTTAGGAAGAGTGAAAGGGTGATGGCAATCACCCCTGATCAGACAAGGAAAGTTGGGATGGGGCTGTCACCATCCCCATCTCCTTTTCTTACTCCTCGTCCCGAAAGGCGGCGCAAAACGCTTGAGTACAATCCAAATCGTCAAGACAAGGATAAAGAGGTTAATGTGCAAGTTCTTCTCAGATGCAGGTAAGTTTTAGTCTCCCTTTATCTTCTTCTTTTTTTTTTTTTTTTTTTGTGGTTCAAATTCTGATATGGAATTTCAATGATCATTTTGGTGGTTGCAATGTGATAGAAATATGTTCTGCTTCTCATTTAATTGTTGATATAATTTTCAACATCTGGACCATAGAATTGTTTGTGTACGTATTTCTCTAGTCATTGAAGTTGTGTAGCTTCAATTTTTGTTTTAATTTGACATGGATTTGCAGTGTAACATTTCTTCAATTTTTGTTTTAATTTGACATGGATTTGTAGTGTAACTATTGTTATGCCAGAGTGGTTCATGACATCGAGTTATCGAAACTTGCTCAAGTTTGATTCAAAAAGCTAAGCAATATCCTGTTGGTTTATTGTTGATTTGATTTCAGGCCTTTAAGTGATGAAGAGCAGAAGTTGAATATCCAGAAGGTGGTATCCTGTAATGAACAGAAAAGAGAGGTCACTGTTATGCAAAGTCTAAATAACAAGCAAGTAGATAAACTGTTCACTTTTGACAGGGTAAGTAACAAACAAGCAAGTCTCCATTCTGATAATGTTACTTCATAACACTCTTTCGATCAACATGTAAAAACCGTTTTTGTTTATTGAAATTTGCAAGGTTTTTGGGCCAAAAGCACAGCAAAAATCAATATATGAGCAAGCCATTTCCCCGATAGTTAATGAAGCTCTCGAGGGATTCAACTGCACTGTTTTCGCTTATGGGCAGACGGGAACTGGTAAAACTTACACAATGGAGGGCGGGATGAGAAATAAGGTATAGAATCTACAGATTGATTATCTTGCCATATACTTGCTTTGATTGACAATATAAGATATCTTCTCTCTTCTGGCAATTGTAATGTACACATATTGTTTCTTGTAGAGTGGCAATTTGCCTACTGAAGCTGGTGTTATTCCACGGGCTGTTCGTCAAATTTTTGATACACTTGAAGCACAAGATGCTGACTATAGTGTGAAAGTGACGTTCTTGGAAATATATAATGAAGAAATAACTGATTTACTAGCACCCGACGAGAATCCAAGAACTGCAGACGACAGGCAAAAGAAATCTATTTCGTTGATGGAGGATGGAAAGGGTTGTGTGATGGTAAGAGGCCTTGAAGAAGAATATGTATATAGTGTAAATGAAATTTATACTCTATTGGAACGAGGGTCTGCCAAGAGGCGTACAGCAGACACTCTGTTGAACAAGCGCAGCAGGTATGTTTTCCTCAGTCACTAAAAAGATATTTGACACCAGAGGACCACTTCATGTTAACTCTTGTCCCTTTTTCTTTGTTTGCAGTCGCTCTCATTCTGTATTTTCCATTACTGTCCTCATAAAAGAAGCAACAGTTGGAGATGAGGAGCTAATTAAATGTGGCAAAATTAATCTTGTGGATCTGGCAGGATCGGAAAACATATCTCGTTCAGGTGCACGCGAGGTACTATAATAAGTTTTCTAAGCTTAAGCTTGCTGTATTTTGTTAGTCACTGGAATTGCAGCCAGAATCAGGCCCAAGTAGTATATTTGTTTGCGTTTTTACATATCTAGGCTCCTTATGTTGTTCTAGTAGTATAGGTGTTTTTTTTTTTTATAAAAATCCCAAGAAATAGAACCCCAAAGTTAGCTTTTAAATGAATTTGCAATAATATCAGAGCTTGATAAAACTTCTGTTATAAACTGTAGGGACGTGCAAGAGAAGCAGGGGAAATAAATAAGAGCTTGCTCACGCTGGGCCGTGTCATAAATGCACTAGTGGAACATTCCACTCATATACCTTACAGGTACGTCCTGATATACATCGATCTTTATTTAATCAGTTTGTGGTTCACTATCTTTTTCTGTTATCTATATGTTTAATCTAATGTGCCGACTCTTTTTTTCAGGGACAGTAAGCTTACAAGACTTTTAAGAGATTCTTTAGGAGGAAAAACAAAAACCTGCATCATTGCCACAATTTCTCCAACTGCTTCATGCATGGATGAAACTCTAAGCACACTGGATTATGCCTATCGTGCCAAGAACATTAAAAACAAACCCGAGGTTCATCCTCCTCTTTCAGTCTTTTGTTTCTTGAAATGTATTGCTTTATGCGACGACTATGATGATGATGAGGTTTATTTTTGCAGGCAAACCAGAAAATGTCAAAACCTGTGCTGCTCAAGGAATTGTATTCAGAGATTGAGAGAATGAAAGAAGGTTGGATGACGATTGCATAACCTCGGATTGGAGATTAATTTTATTTTAATCTGTTCAAAACTGAATGCAGATATTCGAGCGGCACGGGAAAAGAATGGTGTTTATATTCCACATGAAAGATTTGTCCAGGATGAAGCTGAAAAAAAGGTGGACCTTCTCAAAGATTGGCGTTTAAGTTCCCTTTTGCATTTGTAATTTTGTACTAATGTAGCTTCATCGTTTAAATCTGAAAACTTTGCAGGCTACGATTGAGAGAATAGAGCAATTGGAGAATGACCTCAACCTCACAGAAAAGGTACAGTTTGCTTTCTCCTCAATTAGTTATTCTTCTATGATATTCTAGTCATCAAACTCACTTCTTCTTTCAGCAAGCGGAAAGTTTTCGTGATCTGTATATCAGCGAACAAGAACAGAAGCTGGATTTACAAAGTGAGCTCAAGGACTGCAAGGTATGCATCATATACCTATATTTTTAATCTACTCATTTTCAGTTTACGCATCTTATCAGGAATTTTACTTCATCTATTTCAGATAAATCTGGATAACTGTAACAAGGCTCTGCTTGAACTTCAAGAGGATTACCAAACAGCCACCTCAACCTTGAAAGAGAAGGAGCATATCATCTCCAAAATGCTAGTCTCAGGTAAGGAAATTGAGATATTATTGAGAAAATTTTGTACCTCTTTTCTCATATTTTTGAATAACTCTCTTTATTTGAAATAATGGTGGCGTGTCTATGTGTGCTCATAAATATCAGAAAATCTCTTAATTGGACGGGCAAAGGAGTTGCGCAGTGATTTGAAGAATGCATCAGAGGAAATGAATTCCCTCTATGAAAAATTAGGTATGATTAATGAACTTCAGCATGCAAGGTCATAAGCATGCCCCATGCATGCAGAAACGTAACTAGTGTCCTGCATTTTGGTAATTGGCAAATGATTAATGATTATTCTAGTTTTATTTACTCATCTGGCTGAACAGTACATCTGACACGAAAGGATGATGAATATTTTAACCTAAGCATTCACATGTCATCCAAAATCCTTTCTCGTGAACTATTGCATCATCATATGTACGTGAACTATTGCATCATCATATGTACACGCAAGTCAAGTGCTTTTTTGCTGTCCGCAGATCAGAAAGACAAGATGGAAGAAGAAAATCAGAGCTTGGTTTTGACATTTGGTTCTCAACTTGATCGGAGCTTGAAAGACCTACATAAGATCATCCTGGGGTCTGTTTCTCAACAGCAGTATCAACTAAGATGCATGGAGGAGCATGTTCAGTCATACCTTGCGAGTAAATGTGATGTAAGAGAGACTTGGCTATGTCATGTAGTATGCTTGCCTCGTTTCACCATAGTTATCTGTTTATTAAAACTGTTGCTATTATCAGGCAGCACAGGTACTGGAATCCAGGATTAAGAAGATAACAAAGACATACAGTTCTGGAGTAACAACCTTGAAGGAGCTGACCAACATGCTGCAAAAGAAAGCATCATCTGACCTGGACCAAATAAATGCTAAGACGTTATCACATACAGAGGCTGTTGAGAAGGTATCGTGTCAAAAAGTTTCGTGTACCATTCGTAGGATGCTCTTGATTTATTAGCTGAGCATAGTACAAATGTTTGCCTTTATAGTTTCTTGAAACTGCGGTTAAGGAAGCCAATGAGGTCATCCAAGATATTCAGCACTCTCTTAATGAGCAGAAACAGCTATTGGCTTTCTCCACTCAACAACAAGAGGAGGTAGGTAATTCATACTTGTTATAATTTGCTCTTGAAAAATGATTAGAGATTCTTAATCTTTGAGTAAAACTGTAGGGATTGCAAAGAAGCTTGATGTCAGCAGAAGTAATTTCGAAGGCCACTGGTAACTTTTTTGATGACCTCTATGACCGCACTTGTCAAGTTATGAGAAATCTTGAAGAAACCCAAATTCAACGAGTCAACCAATTGGTGAATTTTGAGAAGATGTTTAAGGTAAGCAAACCCAAAATCTACAGGTGTATTTTGGCACGATGATATATGTAAGGCTGATGAACTTTCATTGCTCTGAAACAGGAAGAAGCTTGTAGAGAGGAAAAACATGCTATGGAAAAAATTGCAGTAATTATTGGGACATTGACATCGAAGAAAGCCTTTATGGTAAGTATTTGATTTATTTTGTCGCTTGAAGAAGAGTAGTTTGTAGGTATTTCGTAATTTGACATTTAGAAAGAAAAAAAAAATATTAGGTATCGGAGGCATCAACCAACATCAAGGAAAAGAGTAAAGAAGACAACACCAGGTTGCAAAGGGCAATCTTTAACATGCAACAAGTGGCAACGGATGCTAGGACAGAATTGAGCGAATATTTCGGAAAGGTGGAATGTGATTTTATGAAAGACACATTCTCAGCAGTTGAATCTCAGGCAATCATGGAAAACTGCCTCCAGGAGTGGTGAGTTTATTCATTTTCTTCTCAATTTTTATTTTATTTTATTTTTTAAACTTGAACTAAACGTGAAAATATAGTGCAAAAAGATTGTATCCTCTGTTTTTGTAGGAAATATAGCGCATAGTATTCTGGTATTGCAGCACCCTATGCAGCGTTGAGCATGCGTACATGCTGCAGGGGTTTCCCCCTATCAATTTACTACTCCATATAACCTTTTTTTCCCTTCACATGGTATATGCAGCTCAGAGAGAGTGGGTTACTCTGAGAAACAGTGGGAAAATGCCCAGTCAGCCATAAATACTCTTAATCAGAACAGTGCTGCAAATATCGAATCTACTGTGAAGTAAGTTTCCAACTTTGACACATCAAACTTTGTAGTCATAGTTTGTTATTCCATTCCAATGCTCCGTTGAAATTTCAATTCCTTGCTTTCAACAGGGAAAATATCTCTGCGAACCATTCTGCACATGAAAAGTTTGTTTCTGCATCTTCCCGTGTGGATTCAGATTTCAATGCTTTAGCCTCCGACACATTGTCATGCGTTAATGGTAATTTCAATTTACTTATACAACGAACTAAGTGCTTCACTCGTATACAATGTCTAACTGGTGATTTGAATACCTGCAGATTCGCTAATGCTGGACTATGTAAAGACAAAGGAAATAGACTCCATGACGGCTGTGTGCGTTGATCAGCTTAAATCAGTACAAGAAAAGCATGGTGATGGCGTATCAACTATACGAAATCAAGCGGAAAAGTGCTTTGTAGAAGATTATTTGGTATGTGCTTTTATTAATAGTACACGGTCAACTTCGTTGCATGCCTAATGTCATTGCTGACTGGTATGATTAAACAGGTGGAGAAGCATGCTGGTGCGACCAACAAACAAGTCATTGCTATCCCCAGCTTGGAATCTATCGAGGAGATGAGAAGCTCCGTCGAAGTCAAAGAAGACGGTTCATCTGATAACAAATTAAAACGGAGCCAAATGGAAAGCAAGATGCCGGGTCCTAGAACTCCTTTCGCGGATGTCAACTGAATTTTGAGAGAAGAATTCAAAGTACCTGCTGTATAAGGTTCCGTTTCAAAATATCGAAACATGCTCATCAACTGATGAGTTCCGAGTTGTTTTCTGCTGATCGAAAAAGTCCTATGCTGTCGGTGCACGCAGCTCATTCGGAGAGCGATGCATGGCAGGGCCTTGTGTTCCCATTTAATCCTTAGAAGTTCAGAAAGAATTATGATTGTAATATTTTTGTAGTTTCCGTCTATGAAAACATTTACAAGTTTCTCCAACTTCTCTAACTGATTAAAGTAATAATGTTGAAGACTTACCTACACGAGGGTCGCCACCCTGTAATCACAAACTAATATTACAACGTCAAGTAATTGATTTGAGACATCGTCACCTTAGTATCTATGATTAAAACAAGAAATCAAATTATTCTCATTTTGTGCAAGTTTTTTTTCATATTTATGTGCGATAAAGAAGAAAATTAAAGTAAAAAAATGTGTGGATGAATGAAAACAAAATTAGTCATTGGTTCTCAGCTCCATTCGCATTCGGCAGGGAGCCCACGGTTTTTTATTTTATTGTCTTAAAAAAACACAGAATATTAGGTGCAGTAGTAACTCATTTACCAATTGTTTTCTGCCAATTTGTTTGGTACGGACCAAGGAATAATCCTCCTTCTTAAGTAAGACAGATGATTCTCTGGGTGCTTTTTTTGTTAAAAGTGCTTTTCTGACATCAATGCTTAGAGCGATCTGAAATACTCAGAAGCTACTTGGCAGCCTCCCTCCACAGTAGTACACGGCCATAGCCCTCCGCTGACGACCCGCTGCATCAAGTTTGACTGGTCGAATTTATCTGCTTTCAAGCCAAAACTGGTCAACGCTCACACGGTATACACAGACGTGCACATAAAGGTATACAATTTAACACGTGGATATAATCTAATCTGAAATTCTAAATTTATTACAAAAAGACAACGATTACTAGTCAAACGAACAAAAAGGGTCAAACTGGCTGATTACAAAAAACCCACCACACTAGCCGTTTCCTTAACGCGGTCCAAGGGCAGGATAGTCATTTCGAAAAAGTCAAAAGCAAACACTAGTAAACTAATTCCTCTATAAATACGATCACAATGGACGCTCCTCTTCATTCACTCACAACATTTTGCATTCAATTTTTAGAGACATTTGACATTTGTACGTTTGTTTTTGCTTCGACATGAAGAGAGATATGAGAGGAGAAGAATTAGGGTTTGGATTAAAGGGTTTGGACATGGCAAAGTGTCTAATGCTACCATCATTTGCAGCATGGAGACCAAGTTCAGAACATGTTCAAACGATGTGTTCGAGTGCAAAACTTGCAACCGTAAGTTCACGTCATTCCAAGCTCTCGGCGGTCACAGGGCGAGCCACAAGAGGCCGAGAACATCGATGAGTCGTGATGATGAAGACCGTAAAGATGAACGTGAAAAGGGAAACGACAAGTCCATGGTTATGAACAAGAAGGCTAAAACTCACGAGTGCTCGATATGTGGATTGGAGTTTGGCATGGGACAAGCCTTGGGTGGTCATATGAGGAAGCACAGAGCTTCTAATATGGACATGGCCAGTTTTTCTTATGCTCCTTTAGCTGTCACTTCGAAGATTCCAGTACTGACAAGGTCGAGTAGTAAGAGGGTCATGAGCTTGGAGATGGATTTGAACTTGACACCGTTGGAGAATGACTTAAAATTGTTGTTCGGGAAGATGGCACCAAAAGTTGATGCTTTTGTATCATAATTTTTTGATGTACTTGTTACATACCATGAGGGCTCACCATTGTATTATTTTCATTAACTCCCATTTTTATTCTTTCATTAATTTTATTGGATGTACAACAACGTTATATATTAATTGAATTAACACTTACTGATTTTCTTAACTTAATTCTTGTTTTGTTTTCCAAGTCTTATCTTTTATTTTTACGTACCTAAATATGATCGTTTAATCTGTATTTTGTAGTAGTTGTTAGCAATTTGTGTTTTTGGTGTGTTTGATTCGTCTAGATATTTACGAGGTCACCATTATTTTAAGTAAATATTAAATTGTATTTTAGAAAAGAGTAGAAAATTGACATATGAACGATTCTGTGTATATACGTGGGCTAGGCATGTTTTGAACCAGAAAAAGATAGGTCAGCGGTCCATTGAAATATAAAGAAGCCTTCGTAGGAGCCTTCCGTTATGGGCTTTCCTTCCACCTTCCTCCTAAAAAGAACATTGATCGGTACTTGTCTTCTGTTTTATTACCTGAGATAATTTACACTAATTTATATTAGGGAGGGAAAAGAGAGTTTGAATTCTGAACACACGGAGTTAAAGAGGATGAATTTTAGGGAGGGGAATGAGAGTTTGAACCCGGAATATAGTGAGTTGAAGAGGATGACTGTTAACAACAATATTTGTCTTCTTTGAATTTTTACATCTTTTTTAGCCAATAAATTGAACAAATTAACGGACAATCAAGAAGCGTAATAAGAGAAGTGCAACAAGTAATAATGAATGCGTGCAAATGGTTGATTGCTTTGTGTTCTTAGAGCATTCTTCTTCAACTCACTGCATCTCAAGTTCAAATTCTCCCCTCCCTTTAATATAGTTTTGAATAATAATTTTGTTTGTACTAAAAATTAAGGGTAAATTACATAGTACCCCCTCAGGTTTGAGGTCTATTACAACCTCATACAATATCTTTAAAACATTCAAATTTCATATATTTACTTATCATTTTATTTTAATTTCATACATCCGTTAGAAAATCCGTTAAGTAAACCGTTAAGTGATGACATGATAAATATAAGATGTTGACAGTGGCTGCCAACTTTGTATCAAGTAAATAAAAATAATTAAAAAAGATTCGTTATTTAAAAAACCATTTTTTAATAATTAAAAACTTTAAAAATGAAAAAGAGGATCTGGGATGAAGGATTTTGGCCTTCTTCGTCCCCAATACCACCATCACAACCCGACGGAAAAAGAGGTCCTCAACGCCGCACCTGTCTGCTAACTACGCTTCCAATTACCACCATAACAACTCGAGATCTCACAACTCGCGTCGCAACTTGGTCAATTACGTCACTCGAGTTCGATCTCGACACGACTCAGCAGATTGAGAGGCTAATTTGGCGACGGGGCACCACCCATTTTAGCCCCAACGCCTCGATTTCGTCCGACAAGGTGGATGTGGACAACACCGTGCCTCGATGTTCCCGCACTGAAGTCTGTGCGGTTTGTGACCGACGAGGTCGCGACAGACTCGCCAAAGACGGTGATTGACGGTGGAAAGCCGCAGCGATGCAAGAGGCTGCCGAAGCTGTCGTGGTGGCATCGTCTGCGACGGAAGAAGCCGATGAGGCGGGAGAAGAGATAGGAAATGATGTGTAGTTGACAGAGACAGGTGCGGCATCGAGGACGACGGAGCCGGTGAGGTTGCCGTTGATGGACTTGTTGGAGATGGACTACCAGATAGGGATGGAGGTGGCGACGGAAGATTCTTGTTGCATACAAGCACCGAGCAGATGGGGATGGAGTATAGGAGGAGATGGGGTTATTGGGGATGGGGAAGACATGGGTTTTATGGTTTTTTTATTTTTTATTTTTTATTTATAAATACTTTTTTTAATTAATTATTTTTTTTGCCACGTGGTATAAATGTGGTAGCCACATCAGTTCTTAAGATACCGTTTGGTGCACCTAAAATGGGTGGAACGAGTTGTTCCACGGGACGAGTTTTGGGTGAATTTTCGTTCCACCTCACCCCCCTGGAACGACTCGTTCCACATAAGTGGAACACAAAATTATAACCTCTTCGTCTCCTTCTTCTTCTTCCTTGTTTCCATCCGAGGGCATCTTTGCTCCCGCTCCGTTCCGTTCTGTCCCGTCCTGTCCCGTCCCGTCTGCATACCAAACGATACCTAACGGAACAATAGATGAAAAATCTAACCGAAGTATTATTTTGAAATAAAATATTACGTGAGATATGAAATTGAAATGTTTTAAAGATGTTATATAAGATTGTAATAGACTTCAAATCTGAGGATACTATGTAATTTACCCAAAAATTAATGAGAATGCAAGAATCATTCTCCGTCCTTCAAAACGGCACAATGCCCTCAGTTTCGTATTGGGCCTTGACTCGCTGATTCAATAGAACTTTTATGGGAATTAATATTCTATTACTTGTTTAGAAATATATACATGTGCTATTATAGTTTTACAAGGAAACAAAAAAACATATACACAAACCTACTTAATAAAGGACTCCTATTATTTACATTCCCTATTTTTCCTAATATTGACTCACGCTAACACTCCCCCTCAAGTTGGTGCATAGATATCACACATGCCCAACTTGACAAGTAAGTCATCAAACCTTCGACTACATACTGCATGAGTTAGAACGTCTGCAAGTTGCTCCTCTGACTTCACAAAAGGTATTGACACAATCTTCCTTTCAAGCTTCTCTTTAATAAAATGTCGATCAACTTCCACATGTTTTGTCCTATCATGCTGTACCGGATTATCAGCTATATCTCTTGCTGACTTATTATCACAGTATAGTCTCATGGTTTCCTTTGGCTTGAACCCAAGCCCCTCAAGAAGCTTTCGAAGCCAGAAAATCTCACAAATGCCGTGAGTCATCCCTCGATACTTGGCCTCAGCCGAGGATCTTGATACTACCTTCTGTTTTTTACTTCTCCATGTAACCAAATTTCCTCCTACAAAAGTAAAGTATCCCGAAGTAGACCGTCTGTCACCTACACTCCCTGCCCAATCAGCATCCGTGAACCCCTCAATTCTCAAATGCCCATACTTCTGATATAGAACTCCTTTCCCAGGTGCAGACTTTAAATATGCTAAGATACGCATAACAGCAACCATATGATCTAGACTTGGTGAATGCATAAATTGACTTACTACACTTACTGCATAGGCAATATCAGGCCGTGTATGAGCCAAATAAATTAGTCTCCCTACAAGTCTCTGATATCTCCCCTTATCAACTGATTTCTGATTCGGATCCACACATAGATGATGTTTTTCAACAATAGGTGTATCTACTGGCTTGCATCCCAGCATACCAGTTTATTTTAGCAAATCCAAATCATACTTACGTTGTGACAAGAAAATACCTTTCGAAGATCGAGCAACTTCAACTCCAAGAAAATATTTCAAATCCCCCAGGTTCTTCACTTCAAACTCAGCCGCAAGATTCTTCTGTAATCTTGAAATCTCATCACAATCATCTCCAGCAATAATCATGTCATCTAAATAGATGATTAAGGCTGTCACTTTTTTCTGTCTCTGTTTAACGAACAATGTATGATCAGAATGACTCTAATAATACCCAATCTTTTTCATAACTTGAGTAAACCTATCAAACCATGCACGAGGTGATTGCTTCAGCCCATAAAGAGACTTATGCAACCGGCATACTTCGGTACTTCTACCAGCACTGTACCCAGGGGGAAAATCCATATATACTTCTTCCTCCAAGTTCCCATGGAGAAAAGCGTTTTTCACATCAAACTGTTTTAATGGCCAGTCCATATTAGCGGCTAAAGATATCAGAACACGTACCGTATTCATCTTGGCAACCGGAGAAAACGTCTCTTGATAATTTACACCATATGTTTGGGTGTATCCTTTAGCTACCAACCTTGCTTTGTACCTGTCTATTGATCCATCGGCTTTGTATTTGACGGTAAACACCTACCGGCATCCAACTGTTTTTTTTCCCTCCGGCAAGGACGTCACCTCCCAGGTATTATTCTTCTGTAACGCCAACATTTCTTCATCCATTGCGTTTGCCCACTTTGGATCCTTTAGAGCCTCATCCACACGAGTTGGTACTCGAATAGCCTCCATATTGTCTATCAAGGTCTTACGCTCTGGTGCAAGACCATTGCATGAGACATAGTTGGCTATCGGATACTTTACTTTGCCTTCCGGAGAAAACCTGTCAGGTGGCACATCCCGATTTTGTCTCGGTGGTAGCTTATATGTATTTACATCAGTACTTGCATTAGTTACATAATCATCCACAATACTTACCTCAGGTTTATTCAGAGAAGAATCATTGGGCATCACCGTGGAGCTAGAGAGAGAGGGGGTTACACAAGTAGGCTCGACAATGAACTGTCCTGACTACAAATCACTCTCGGCATCTTTTGTTTCTGACTGCATGCTGCTCTCGGCAGCAACTTCTGACTCATGCCGTGGCATGTTTGGTATTTCAGCCGCATCTGGCACGGCATGTATGATCACTGCCACATTAGGCACGGTAGCAGCATGCACGGCCTCAGCATCAACCACAGTATTTTCTCCCAAGTCTAACCATTCCAGATCACCACTAGAGCTCTCCCTCTGGTGATCTGAAGATGAAGATACGGGGGCATAAAAAAACTCTGATTTAGAAAAGGTCACATCCATAGTAACATACATATGCCGAGTCTCAGGGTGATAACATTTATATCCTTTTTGGTGAGATGAGAAACCAACAAACACACATCGAAGGGCACACGGATCCAACTTAGTGCGATGAATTTTTGGAATATGCACATAAGCCACACAACCAAATACCCGGGCTTGAGAGTATGAGTAGACATCACCTGAACATGTTGAGTGAGGACTTGAAGAGGAGTTCGAAAGTCAATCACCCGAGAGGGCATACGATTAATCACGTAGACAGCATAAGTAACTGCTTCAGGCCAAAAAATCTTAGGAACAGACGCGCCCAGAAGTAGAGCACGTGTCGTTTCTAAGATATGGCGATTTTTCCGTTCAGCCACTCCATTTTGCTGTGGAGTATAGGGACAGGTTGTTTCATGGAGAATGCCTTGATCACAAAGAAACTCCGACAACTCACAATTAAGATACTCACCAC